GGTTCTTAGCTTCCTTGCATTGGGTTAGAACATGCTCCTTTAGTTCAGAGGAGTTTGTTATTACACACCTTCTGAAGCCTACCTCTGTCAATTTGTCAAACTTATTCTCCGTCCAGTTTTATTCCCTTGCTGGTGAGGAGTTGTGATCCTTTGGAGGAGAAGAGGCGCTCTGGTCTTTGGAACTTTCAGCCTTTTTGCGCTGGTTTCTTCCCATCTTTGTGGATTTATCTATCTTTGGTCTTTGATGGTGGTAACCTTCAGATGGAGTTTTGGTGTGGACGTCCTTTTTGCTGATGTTGATGCTTATTGCTGTTTGTTAGTTTTCCTTCTAACAGGACTCTCTGCTGCAGGTCTGCTGGAGTTTGCTGGAGGTCCACTCCAGACCCTGTTTGCCTGGGGTATCACCAGCAGAGGCTGCAGAACAGCAAAGATTGCTGCCTGTTCCTTCCTTTGGAAGCTTCATCACAGAGGAGCACCCACCAGATGCCAGCCAGAGCTCTCCTGTATGAGGTGTCTGTTAGCCTCTACTGGGAGGTTTCTCCCAGTCAGGATACACGAGAGTCAGGGACCCACTTGAGGAGGCAGTCTGACCCTTAGCAGAACTTGAATGCTGTGCTGGGAGATCCACTGCTCTCTTCAGAGCCACCAGGCATGGAGGTTTAAGTCTGCAGAAGCTGCACCCAAAGCCGCCCTTTCCCCCAGGTGCTCTGTCCCAGTGAGATGTGGGTTTTATCTATAAGCCCCTGACTGAGGCTGCTGCCTTTTTTTCAGAGATGCCCTGCCCAGAGAGGAGGAATCTAGAGAGGCAGTCTGGCCACAGTGGCCTTGCTGAGCTGCGGTGGGCTTGCCCAGTTTGAACTTCCCAGAGGATGTGCTACACTGTGAGGGTAAAACTGCCTACTCAAGCCTCACCAAGCTCGAGCATTTCAGGTCGACCTCAAACTGCTGTGCTGGCAGCAAGAAGTTCAAGCCAGTAGATCGTAGCTTGCTGGGCTCCTTGGGGGTGGGACCTGCCGAGCCAGACCACTTGGCTCCCTGGCTTTAGCCCCTTTTCCAGGAGAGCGAACGGTTCTGTCTCGCTGGCTTTCCAGGTGCCACTGGGGTATGGAAAAAAACAAAAACCAAAAAACAAAACAAAAACTCCTGCAGCTAGATCGGTGTCTGCCCTAACAGGCTGCCCAGTTTTGTGCTTGAAACCCAGGGCCCTGGTGGCGTAGGCGTTGGAGCGAATCTCCTGGTCTGCAGGTTGCAAAGACCGTGGGAAAAGAGCAGTATCTGGGCCAGAGTGCACCGTTCCTCACAGCAGAGTTCCTCGTGGCTTCCCTTGGGTAGGGGAGAGAATTCCCCCACCCCTTGCGCTTCCTGAGTGAGGTGACCCCCCACCCTGCTTCAGCTCGCCCTCCATGGGTTGCACTCACTGTCCAACCAGTCCCAGTGAGATGAACCGGGTACCTCAGTTGGAAATGCAGAAATCACCCGCCTTCTGCATCAAACTTGCTGGGAGCTGCAGACCAGAACTGTTCCTATTCAGCCATCTTGCCAGTGAATCCCCACCAGGCTAATTTTTAAAAAAAATTTTTGTAGAGATGGAGTCTCACTGTGTTACATAAGTTGGTCTCAAACTCCTGGACTCAAGTAATCCTCCTGCCTCAGTCTTCGAAAGTGCTGGGATCACAGGTGTCAGCCTCCACATCTGGCCCTATGATTTTCTTTTGTTATCCTTTTAATGTTCATGGATCTGTAGTAATGCTTTTTCTTTCTAGTATTAGCAAATTATGTCATCTCTCTTTTCTTGCTTAGCTTGGTTAGCGGCTTATCAATTTTATTGATCTTTTCAAAACACTGGCTTTTGATTACATTATTTTTCTCTATTTCCTATTTTCAATTTTATTAATTTCTGCTCTAATTTTTATTTCTATTCCTGTGCTTACTTTGGGTCTAACCGTCTCCTAAGGTGGAAATCTAAATGATTGGTTTTAGATCATTCTTTTCTAATACAGGCATTGAACACTAGAATTTTTTCCAGGTACTACTTTTGCTGCATCTCACAAATTTACATATATTGTGTTGTTATTTTCATTCCGTTTAAATATTTTTAAATTTCTTTTGAGACTTCTTTGTAGATCCGTGTGTTATTAGAAGTGCATTGCTTAATCTCCACGTGTTTTGGGATTTTCCAGCTCTCTTTCTGTTACTAATTTCTAGTTTAACTCCGTTGTGGAATTGAGAGTACATACATTGTGTGACTCTATTCTTTCTATTCTTTTACGTTTGTTAAGGTGTGTTTCGTAGCCCAGAGTGTAGCTTGGGAAGCATGTGTGTTCTGCTGTAGCTGGATAAAGTAGGGTGTTAGGCGTTTATTGTAGTTAGGTAACCAGGGGTGCTGTTGAGGTCAGCTTTGTCCTTCCTGATTTTCTGCCGGCTGGATCTGTCGGTTACTGGGAGACAGGTGCTGAGCTGTCTAACTGTCACAGTGGATTTCTTTCTTTGTAGTTCTGCTGTTTTTGTGTCACTTGATACTGTTTTTGGGCACAGGTACGTTGAGCACTGTCACACCTTTGTGGAGAACTGGCCTCTTTATCATGTCACGTCCTTCTGTGTCCCGGAGGAGACTCCTTGTCTGAAGGGTGCCCTGTTTCGTGTTGATGCAGTACCTGCCGCTTTCTTTGGATTGGTGTCAGCACGGTATGCACTGCTCCACTTTTAATCCGTGTCTTCTTATTTAAAGTGCTTTTCTAGTCGACGGCATATTGTTGGGTCTCTTTTTAAAAAAATCCTGTCCTCAAGTGATCCTCTCACCTTGGCCTCCCAAAGTGCTGGGATCACAGGTGCGAGCCACCATACCCGGCCTCCCCCCTTTTAAATACAGAAGTGCTATTGATGGAATGGTAAGGTGTGAGGGGAAGGGAAGCTTTCTCTTATCCTATGATTGGGTCTCAGTCTTTCAGTGAGCCTGTGCCCTGAGGTCTGATCTTCGTAAATCCTTCTCAGTCCCTCCTCCCCACCCCTGCCTTAGGATGGTTAGAGGGGGCTTCCCCTAGATACGTCAGACGCTGGCAAACCCTAAGTCTGTTTGTTAGGCTTTGGTAGGATTCTTTCACTGGAGGGCCTTTTGTCAGGTGAACAGATGCTCTGGGCATATTTCAGAATGGCTACTTTCTCCCCACCTGCTGGAAACACAAGGGCGTTTTTCTCTGATCTACACCCTGAGAACCTAGGGGGGTTCCTGGGGGTAAAGCTCACAAAGTGTGAGGGACGTCCTAAGACTGGGCCCCCTAGAGTTTTCAGTCCTCAGGTTTGTCCATGTTGAGCTTCTGGGTTTGTCAGCTGCAGGTCAGGCTTCCCCAGCCCGGCACGGGTCCTCACGGAGGCATCTGTACCTGGGCATCTGCTCAGTGGGCTGTGAGTCTGTGTCAGCCTTTGCCATTCTGCGGGAGCTGTTTGCCTGTGACATTCATTCTGATAAGAATCTACAAAGAATTGCTGATTTTCAGCTTGCTCCACTTTTTCTTGTTGTGAGGATAGAATGCTTTATGAGAAACCAGAAATTCTCATGCACTGGTCCCTTGGTTTTTAATTAAAAGGTTCTATAAATTATCTTTATAATTTAAAATGAATTCCATATTAATTTATTTGTACTTTTACTGACTTCTGGGAAAATGTTCGACCACATGAGGATGAAGGTATAAAGTTTCAAATGAAAGGCCAAGTAAATTAAAATATTTATTGAAGGGCTATGGCATTAAAAAAGAAAAATATATAAAGCTTTGCATTTGCTGGTTATAAGTGTATCATGAAAAGAAATACAGTAAAGGGAAGACAGGAAAACCAATGCATGAAACACAATCCTGATGTGCACTGGGGGAAGGTCATCCTCAGGAGCTGCACTGTGCCCTTGGAGACGGGAGAGCACTACTCAGAGTATCCAGGCAAGGAGTGCATAGAAAGAAGGCGCAGAGACATAAGGCAGCAGGACTTCTCACTGATGGGAGTGAGACTGGCTGGTCACAGGCAAGAGAAAGAGTGCAGCTGATCAAGGAGGTGGAAGGCAGGGAGCAATTGCTCAGAGTGGTGACATGTGGTCCCCCTCCCCGGCCAGGTCCCCCTCCCCGGTCTGGTCACCTCCCCAGACCCGTCCACCTCCCTGGCCAGGGCCCCCCCCCCGGCCAGGTCCCCCTCCCGGACTGGTCCCCCTCCCGTCTGGTCACCTCCCCGGCCAGGTCCCCCTCCCGGACTGGTCCCCCTCCCGTCTGGTCACCTCCCTGGCCAGGTCCACCTCCCGGACTGGTCACCTCCCCGGCCCGGTCCCTCTTCCCGGACTGGTCACTTCCCTGGGCCAGTCACTTCCCCGGATTGGTCCACCTCTCCAGCCCGGTCCACCTCCCCGGCCTGGTCCGCCTCCCCGACTGATCACCTCCCCGACTGGTCACCTCCCCAGGCTGGTCCCCTCCTCAGACTGGTCCACCTTCTCTAACCAGTCTACCTCCCGCACTGGTTTACCTCCCGCAGCGGTCTACCTCCTGGAGTGGTCCCCTCCCCGGACTGGTCCACCTCCCTGGATGGACTGGCTCACACTGCTTCCTGGCAGCTGCAGGCTCAGTGGAACCCACTTGTCCTCCTGGAGTTTCGTCACCACGTCCACATCCCACCGTCTCACTGGAGCCTGGATCCGTGAGGTCCAGGGAGCTAATGTGCGTCTCTGTTCAATGCAACTCAAAAGAGCGTAGAACAACCGTTAACTAAATACTGTAGGATTTATTAATTAAAAACTCATTTAATCTATACCATTTTTGCATACATATTAAATCTGTAGCCTTAATAAATGTCCATTACTTCTTAAAATATAGAGAAATTGAGGGTATTTCAACAATGAAATATATAATGGAGGAAGAGTGTAATTTCTTTTTGGATAAAACTCTTTGGTCTATATAATTTTCTGAGATTAAAATAACACGAGAATTCACTCCAATAAAAAAGTAAACATTACTTTTCTCAAAAAATTTAATTGCAGAACTATTTACAGGAGGTGAACAGCGTTACAGAAGTCAAATGGAGGCATCATCACAGAGGGTTATGGCAGAAACGGTGCGCATTTCTTACAGTCAGATGAGTGAAAAAAAGTCATGGGAAAAAAGAACACAAATAAAGCAATCCTTAAATGCCTTAAAGGAACGACCAACATTCTGATAAGTTACTAAGAAGAAGTAAGAAATTGTCGCGGTGATGAATAGCATATTGCACATTCAGATTAGGTATCCTGCATGCTACTAAATAGAATTTATCAAAAGAACCATAAAAGCATGAGAAAGAGAATTACATAAAATAGTTTAATTCCAGTGAATGACTTTGTACAGATGCTGAATATTTGGCACTCTGTTCATCCTCACACTCGATATGATTTCATATTTATATTTTTATATATATATATTTATATACTTCTTTAAAACTTTAACTAAACAGCTAGTTTCCTGGTTCTAACATTCCTTGAATTTCTATAGGAGGCATTTAATGTAGTCCTTAGGCCGCACCTGGGTATTTTGGTCTGTAGTATGGAAGGTCGGGGATGAGTTGTGTCTCTGCAGGGAGGACCTGTCCTGTCTGAGAGTGAAGTGGCTTACCGTTCGGAAGGAAGCATTCAAAAGGAGCCTAGGTCTCACTGCTCGTAAGGGGAAGCTTTGTTGAGTTCAGCAAACCAGTTAGAAAGTGGAGTGAGGGGGACATTCATGCTGAGCCCTTTGAAAGTGATATGATTGTATTATTCAAATGAGTGGGGCTGGGGCACGGTAGTGTTTTGGGGGTAAATCAGAGAATGGGTGAGTGGCTTCCATAAGGTGCCGCGATCAAGCTGGGAGCATCCTTTGTTGTACTGGCAGACCCGAACCAACACACTCTCTAGGGAGACCATGGTCTACTTGAAAGAGATAAATTTGAACTTAAATTTGTCCAAGAAACCTGGTGTCAATCTTTTCATTCATGATCACCTCTCCTCCATTGAGTAGGTGAAAGCTTGGATGCCCAAGGCTTTCAGGTTCTGAATAAGCACCAATGAAAAGAGTTACATAAAATCTAAGAAAGTAGGGAGGTAAATCTCTGTCACCTTGGTGTGTGTATGTACAAAATCTGTTAAAAAGTAGTTTGATAGTAGGTAACGAACATTTCCTCTGCAAAGAAGTCATCTGTTAAGTGTTTACATTGAAACTTGAAATAATTTATTTTAACACTGGATAAAAACGCCAGAGTTAGGACAGCAATTCATAAAATTGTGGACATTTTTCAATGTGGCAAGGATGAAAGATGGTTATTTCCCAGAGCTTTCCCACGGACCACCTCTGCCTTCTCTGAAGTGTGAAACAGAGGAATTAATTAGAGGGATGAGCTTCTCAAACCCTTCTGTGGTTTGAGTCACTGTGTCTGATTTCGTTCCTGCTGTTGCCCTACCCATGCAATTTTCTGCTTCCAAATTATTATTTTTTTTCCTTTATCACTTTAATGTTTAGTGTATCTCCTCATTTCATCTAAGAGGCAACTGAGCTTAAGTAATGGTGAAAACGTGGCCTAATTCTGGTTGATGCTGGGTTCTTGTTCTTGGAAGCATCTAGAAACAGTTGAAAGCCAGAAGCTAAGGAGAATGGCCCTTGTAGTTATTTCTCCATTTCCAAACCTTTCCAAAGACAGTCTCATGGCCTTTGCCTCTGGTGGTCCCTGATTATCTGAGTTGTTTACAACCAGCCTGGATTTTGGCAGCATCCCTTGCAGAGCTGGGAGGGCAGCATTCCAGAAGAGGCCAGGGACTAATCCTTAGCAAGAACTCACTTTCACCACCTGTTCCCAGGAGCTCAAAGGACGTTAGAGCCAATATATCATTAATCCTCACAATGTGCCCTCAAGGGAGATGGGACAGGAACTATAATCCCCTTTCCAGAGGAAAAAACTGAGATGAGTTGCTGGCTGAGGATGAATAAAAGCCAGGTTGCCTGACTAACGGCCTAGAGATTCCTAGCAATATCTCCTTTATTTCCAGAACATTCTGCTGCTACTCTGCACTGGGGGACATTCAACCGAATGCAGAGAACAAGCCCTTTCCTTTAGCACTTTGTTTATGGCCAACAAGGAATTGCAACTCCCAACTAATAGCAACAAGATGGGGCTCCCGCAAGGGAAGCCATGGCTCTGATCTGAACCCCCGTGGTGTGTGCTACGGCTGACACGGTGCTGAATGAAGCACATTGCGTTGCCCCAGTCCACAGAGTTACGGATCCTACTCAGAAAGGGGTCATCTTTTTCATCTCTTAAGCTCATGGTTTTCTTTTATTTTCAAGTTTTAGAACCTTGTATTCAATCCATGCCTACAGAGAAGTGTAAACAGACAAGCAGATCAACACGAGAGAACCCTCGCACATTCCCAGGGGCTGTCGTCCGAAAACTGCTGTTTTAAACCAGCCTGTTAAATTTGCAGTTAGAAAAAAAATGAAGTTCAGGCTTGACAAGAAGAGGGCTGGGAAGTGAGCACACAAGAACCATGGGGAGTTTGGTTATTTCGGCCCGTGTTGGAGGAGCTTGTTTCTATGCTCAAAGGTGGGGCGATTCCAGGGCCAAAGGAAGTATCCGGGGCCCTCCCTGAACCAGTGCTGTTTTGGGCAACGCTTTTACGTCAGTACCCCTGCACACGCTCTTACACATTTCCTGCTGCCTCTCCCAGGTTCGTGGGGGGCCCTGCCATCAAGGATGGCCCTGCTGGTGACTGGGGTACCCAGGCTGACTTGGCCACGGCACATGGGCCTCCTGTCTGCTGAAACACCCCAGGGAACCTGCCAGAATTCCAAGCAAGGCTGACTGATGAAACGCAGCTGAAACACGAGCTGCGTCTCCCAGGAGATCCCCTGGCCCCTTAGTGCTCAGGACCACAGGATGGCTTGACTTGATGGAGGTCCTGCCGATAGAAAAGGCCCTCCTGAGGAAGACTCGGACCCACCTCCCCGACTCCCTACTCGCCCCCAAAAGGTTTGGCCCAAACCAGAGAGCGGTCCCTAATACAGCTCATTCTATGGTCACCACAGGCGCTCCAAACACAGGCCTGCGGTATCCCTTCACTTTCCTGTGGAATTCCATCCTGAACTGGGGTAGTGATGCTTACAAGGATCTCACGAAAACAGAGATGAGCGAATTTACAGATGCAGGGCCTTCTAATGAAAGGGGTGGAAACAGTGGCTGCTTAATATGGCACTGAAAAGGCAATCAAGACAGGGAAGACAAGGACATACGCTCCAAGAGAAATAATCAGAACCTATGCACATGTGTGCTCTGCCACTGTGTCTTCTAATCATAAACCTGGCCACTGTCATAAGCAGCAGCAGGGAGAAATTCCCTCTACTTAGCAGGTCACTGATTTTGTAGCCTTGTTTTTTTTTTTTTTTTTTAAAAAAAAAACAAAAAAACCAGATAACCTTACATGTAATTTGTATTTTGATCTGACCATTTACCTTTCAATTACATGCTCGAAGTTTTTAGAATTGATTTGGAGTTGAAAACATTTCCTTTTAAACAAAACTAATTTTTTGGTATCATAGTTCAATTTTTTATATACCATTCTAAGATGGTGATATAAATTTGCTGAGAAAAATATGGTAAAAATTGTCATTGAGAACAGCTAGTTTTACTTCAAACACAGTAACACATGAAGATGCATGAGACGCATCACAAGAAAAGCACTCTGGGTAACAAGCAGCATTCTCCTTTCCTGGGCTAAATGCGAGGTCCTGTTTATCATACTTGTGTTTTATTAACTACAGCCTTCAACAGAGCAGGATCAACCTGTCGGCTATACGGAAAGTGTCTGGGTTTCACCCGTCATTGGCTGTATCATTAGAGAATGTGGGTATGGGGTTAGAGCGAACATCACACTCTCTCGGATGATGTTCCTAGAACAGCACAATAATTTTCAGCCGTGTTCTCCAATGGATGTTTACTCTTTTCTTAAAATTATATTTTAAATATGACGAAATGGTCACACGTGAGCTCCATGGTATGTATCTGCTAGAAGTGGCTGAAATAAGCTAGCTCGAGTAACTAACACAAGTATCATAAACAGTTTTATTTTTCTTGACATGTACAATACATAAACATGGCTTCTGCGTTTCATGGTAGAATGTCACCTGCATGAGAACTGAGTATATTGCACTTGATTATGTAACACGGACAGGTAACATTCCATCAGGTCTAGCAGCAGGTATCCGTTCTACCATTAAATCATCTTCTTTGGAACATGGCGGACCGAGCAGGGCGTGTCCACATTCACCACGTCGAGTCACCAACCCCTGTGCAATGTAGTGGTAGGTTGATCTGCTCACCTAGGGATGGTTTAGGCCAAGACTTTTGGGGATTGAAAAATAACAATGAGTCTACACAACGTAAGAAATCAACCTACATCCAGTGAACATTTTAAGCAGGGATCATTGAATCTGGGATCTGAGACGAATAATTATTGTCTACTTTAACAGTTTGTTTTTATACATGTTTTTGTATAAGCTCAAGGAAATGAGTTAAACATATCAGCTGCCAGTAGATAGACCAACGTGAGGAGGTGGCGGGCCTGTATCCACGTTACATTTCCTTTCACTCGGAGTGTACACTGACTTTGCTTTTCTGTGGTTATTTCTAAACAGCAGAGTTCATCTGAAATCATACAGCATTTTTAAAGTCTAAAATGCCAATACTCGCAAATACATTTGTTTTAACATAATAGAGTGGATATAGGAAGAAGCATCATTACTGTACACTACTCAAAATTTAGGTATTTAGGTAGAAAAATGCTTTGAACACCCTGGGGAAATAGGATTCATTTATAGAAGAATATTTCAGGGATTTTTTTTTTTTTTTTTTTTTTTGCATTTTTCAAGGAGATACATTCGTACTGATTTTTGCTTCCAAATATATTTTAAGGCTGTTTGGTAAAATATATACCAGATACGAGGCTCAATTTACAGGGTTTCGTTGTTACAGGGAATTCTTAACTACTCAGCTTTAAAAAAGTAAAACTTCGAAGCTAAACATGCTTTAGTATCAGCTCTGCTCCCAGTGGTCCCATGCTCCGTGGGATGTGGCGAATGAGGCAGGGAGACACCGCAGCTCTGGAGGGCGTTCTGCCGGACAGCTGCGCCTCGAACGCCCTGCCAGCCACGGGCTGCAGAGGGGCCGGGGATGCTGTAAAGTGCAAATCAAGGTGAAGAAACAAAGTGCTACGGGTCGTCCTCGAAAGCGGTTCTGCCTGTGGCTAAGTACATGGTACTCCCTAAGCCGGGAAGGAAGACCAGGTACGGGGGTGGAAACATCTTACACTGCAGTCCTGCTTTTACTTTGAGTAATAAGGAGGACTCTGAAACTGGAACCCAGTGGAAAAATCTGATAGGCTTTTCCTTTGAAGACTGGTCTGAACTGTGAAACAAGTCGTGTTGGAACAATGGTCGTGGCAGCTGAATTTAATGATACACACGGAGAGCCTATTAGAGTCGTTCCTATTTTCGTCTGGCACCGACCACAGAGTCATGAACACTAATTTTTTTTTTTTTGGAATTCCACAGCTGGAAATCACAATATGTGACCTCTTTTTTCCTTCAGGTCTAACACAGGCAAGGAATATATTCTTGACTTGAGCAATACTGCATAGGACAAAAGAATTCTGGAAAAATACAAATGTAAACTACATTTCTTCTTTACCATTTAAACTGAGATATACTTACCACGCACATTCATATTTCTGAAACTTTTTATAACATCACAATTGTCATTTTAAACAAGCAAACTTTTTGTGTTTTTTTTGTGATTTTTTTTTTTTTAAGGATACCCTGGAAAGTCAGCTGATAGAACAATTTGAGTATATATATACATACATTAAAAAAATCACATGTAGCGTAAATGGTGAAACTTAAAGAAAATACTGGGTGTCGTATTTTAAGTTACAAAGAAATAAAAAATACAAGAACTATTTCATAGAAGTAAGGACATTGTTTCCCCTTTATGCTCCCAGCCCTCTGTAAGACTCTCCTCTCTCTGCGCGTGACTTCTTTGTGGGAACACTCGGCTTATCTTTTCAATGTGTAGATGCTGTGCTGGGTATTTTAGTGGGTTCAGATTTGTCATCCCCTGGGATGCTGGAGAACTGTATGGTGGGGAGTTTGGTGGTTCGAGAGAGAACTTTCCCTCACAGTAAGCTGGACACAAGGAGCCTAATGTTTTCTCTCTGTGACAAACAGGAGCAGGAGAGCGGAGCGGGTGGACGGGCTGCCTGCGCTCAGGGAGCAAAAGCTCGGGTGTGCGAGGGGAAGGGGCCTTTCTTCCTGCACTTCAGGTTGTAGCACCTTCCACTTGGGTGTCTAATGCCTCTAGGGGGTGGTGAGATGCACCCATTTATGGTTATTTGTTATTCTTACCTCTAATTATCACACAATTTATAAAAATAGAAATAACAAAATGTAAGCTGGGTTCCAGCTCCAGAGGCATTTCTCGCCGTCCTCTGAGAACACGGAGGAGAAGTCAGGTCTCACCACGCCTGTCCCTCAGAGCCGAGTGTGAGCCAGGCCACCGGTTTAAAAAAAACAAAAACAAAGTCGTCCTCGCCATGAGCTCCGTGGACTCTGAGGCCACTGACCGCACTCCACTGTGTTCACGGTACAAGGAGCATAAGAGCAAGGGCGTGTTCAGTGGAAGAAATGAGACAGAAACCACCAGGGAGGCAACAAACTGTACAAGCGTTTTGTGAAAAAGCAGAAACGACCAAGGGGAAGGTGGCCGGCCTCCGTCCTCAGAGCCGGGTCTGGGCCTCGGGGATGTAGATCTCGATGCTGTCCGCGCGCTCAGTGGCAGAATTCTGCCGGAAGGATGCCGCTCGCTTGGCGGCCATGAGTCGTCTCCGGGCTTCCTGACGTTGTCTGTCGGGCAGGTCCAGGGATTTTTCTCTTGTGATGGGAAATTTCCCTTTGGGGGGCTTCTTTGGTATTGGAGGTGGGACCTTTCTTTCTTCCTGAAAAGCATCACAAGTCAACATTGGCAGGTGGTCGGAGGTGGGTCCTTAACAGCTCAGTGGCCCTGGGGTCTGGCCCACACCCTTCCCGACTGCAACCCCTGTGGCAGCATCCTTCATTCCCTTCCCACGTTTCCCCTGGTCCCTGACTCCCAGGCCACAGGCTTGCCTTCTGCACAGTATGTAATTTTAGAAGCTCCCTCACACTCTGAATTCAAAGTGGGCAGAGGCATTAGGGGCAGGGTTCACAAATCAGGAAATACATTCTGCAGGTTTGCACCTTGCGTCTCTGGAGTCACTGAGTTATTCTGACATTGCTGCCTGATTCCTGCACTTCCCGAAGCCCTGTGTCATCTTCTCTGAGCATCGGCCGATACCTGCGTTGCTAAGCTCGGCATTGTGAGGGTTTTGGACATCCCTATTAAACACTGCAGGGATTTCCACAGACTCTGGGATTCCAAGTGTGTTCATGAAAACCATCTTACATGGGTGGGTGTGTCGGGAAACACTGGCCGAATTCTCTTATTGGCCTCAAATCCCACTGACAGGGATGATATTTATAAAACCACTATTCACTGGCTTGCTTTGTAAAAAGATGCAAGTAAGTATTCCTGACCCTTAGCTCAGATTCTCAGATAAGTCGCGCTAAAATACGTGTATGCCTTTTTAGAAAGATAAATCTCACAATTATGCAACAAATGCAAAGGGTAATGCTTGCACTTGCCCCCGCAAAAGGTCTGCATCCACAACTGTGCCATTCACATCGTTCCTAAAGACAGTGGGACCTGCCCCGTCTCCCCTTCTGGACGGAGCCATGACAGGGACTCTGTAACCAGCTGTTTCCTTCCCAGGAAAGGGCGCATGGCAGAAGGCGTCAGAACCACTTTCCTAAGTCGGTATCTAATTTTGGGGGAGAAAAGCACGAAAACTCCACTCGTGTCTTTTTCTCTTCAGCCTCTGAAACATCCCACAGGGAGGGAGCCCGGAGGTGCCTGGAGATCGGGGAGACAGGCAGTAGTGTGAGTGCGGAGGAGGCCTGTGGCACGCAGGCTGCTTTGGTGTCTGGAACTTTGTTCCCTCGGCTTATTTTACACGACCTAGGCCAGAAGCAATGACTCTTACCTGACTTCTAGGCATCCATCTAAAACACCGGGGCGATGGATTCACTGAAACCTTCAGCTACTTTAACAAGTAATTCCTGGTTTCAGCACATGATAACTGTCCTCATAGTTCAGGGGACGCCAAGAGGAGAGGAAAGAAGAGGGTCCCTTTCCTCCTTTGGTGTCCCCTGAACTGTGAGCCTGTGAGGCGTACACATCAGTATTTACTGTGGGGTTCCCCGTTCAAAGGCTTCTAGGCCTGCGGGTGTGGCTCTGTGCGAGTATCCAGCAGACGCCGTGCAGGGCCCACCCCAGGGAATTTTAAGATGCCATGTTCAGGAGGGGCAGGGCCGCCTCTTCAGGCATGGAGCCTCTGCTCGCTTTCTGGACTGGTGTGCTCTGCCCTCAGCGAGAAACCATTTCCTTTTTTTCTTTTTTTGAGATGGAGTTTCACTTTGTCGCCCAGGCTGAGTGCAGTGGCGCAATCTCGGCTCACTGCAAGCTCAGCCTCCCGGGTTCCCGCCATTCTCCTGCCTCGGCCTCCCGAGTAGCTGGGACTACAGGCGCCGCCACCACACCTGGCTAGTTTTTTTTTGTATTTTTAGTAGAGACGGGGTTTCACCGTGTTAGCCGGGATGGTCTCCATCTCCTGACCTCATGATCTGCCTGCCTCAGCCTCCCAAAGTGCTGGGATTACAGGCATGTGCCACCATGCCTGCTTACTTTTTGTATTTTTAGTAGAGATGGGGTTTCACCATGTGAGCCAGGATGGTCTCCATCTCCTTACCTTGTGATTCACCCAGCCTCCCAAAGACATTTCCATTTTGAGAATCATACTCTATGTGCAGCTTGGGCAGATGGGCTCACATTCACTCTCAGTGACCAAAGAATGGAAACTAGATGGAACCATTGCATGCACCTGGGCTAACTTCAGTACGTTCCATTTAAACAGCCTTCTTACTCAAGAACATCACTGATCATTTCCTTCACCTCAGATCCAAACTTACTTGGACCTGCCTAGTCCCACGTGTGGCCTATGTGGACCTGCCTCACATGTGGCTTTTGTGGGCCTGTCCCACGTGTGGCTCATGTGCATCTGTCCCATGTGTGGCTTACACAGACCCTGTGCGCTCCCACCCTGCTCCCCTGTCATTTGGGATAAGAGGGAATCTGGATGGATGGCATCTGGCCTGGAACTCCTCTAGTGGCCAGGGCACCTTCTGGGAGGAGCTGATGATGAGGACGATCAGCCTTGGCTCTCGTTCTAATAACCCAGGTGTGCATCCTTGCTGGATACCAAATACCACTTCCCCCAAAGGATGCTGACTTGATTTCCTTTATCATTTTAATTGATAACATTTGTCTAGAAAAATCCAATTATGGTTCCTCAGGACGTCTCTAAAACGTGTGAGGAAATCACTGTCTGCTGCTGACTCAGAACGATCTACTAGTTCTTCTGATGACAGCATCATGGAAGAAGTGAAATGCCAGGGTTCAGATTTAATGGGAAATTTCAGCCTATTTTAAGGGCTGAGGCTGATGGATCTACAGGAAGATTAATTCATCAAACTGTTCGATAAGGTATGAAATGTTGCCTTGCCTATCGTGGCTGTACTAGAAGGTATATTGACTAGGAGATAGTCCATAACCAGGCCTAAAACTTCCCCTGTGGGAAACCAGCTTCATATTTACACGATCAGAACAAGTTTGATGAATATAATTCAGAGGTGAGACGCCTGTCTGGAATGAGGCTGCAGATTTGCTTGTCATCTTGGCTAGTGTCTCTCTGAAAGGCTTATATAGAAGAGACAGAGCAGGGAAGGCCCTATGATTTACTACCCATGCCCAAGGCTTCAATTCCGCCCCATTTTGGGCACATGCCGCACATATACATAGAGGGCAACGTGCTCCTGTGTTGCCAGCAAAAGACTGAGAACCCCATTGTCATGCTGTACCTGCAGCAGGTCGTTACTGCAGTGGGAAAGGGGGTTTGCTGGGAGCTGGCCCTGCACAGACGCCCTTACCTTTCTTTCTGGGGACTCCATCATCTTCCAGTCATTGAGCCGAAGCTGCTGCAGCTCATCGAACTTCATGCTGACGTCCTCAATGGAGAGCTGCAGCATGTCCCAGTAGCCGGCCAGGTCCTGTGACGTCGGCCTCGGCATGGCGCTGGGGTCCTGGGGACACACACAGGGTGTTCAGAGCCAGGAGAGTCTCCCACGGGCGCAGGGCTGGGAAGGCTGCTCCTCCCCACGCGCGCCGTTCAAGAGGTGGATTAGGGAGAAGCCTGGCTAATTCCACCCTGAGGCAAATATCTGGGAAGGCCTGCCGTGCTTCCATGACAGTTTAGCACAAGTATTTGCTGATGGCTTAAAAGCACGTAGCACAGCCATTCATTGTCCCACGTTGAAAATGCTGGGGATGGGGCAGATGGGAGAGTTTCTAAATGCTTCACAGCTCAAAAGCAGTAGGACCCTGTGTTTTTGGTCACCTGTGGATGATTCGGAAGGGACAGGGCTCCGTGAGCCTGCTGTGGTATTGGCCTGGTGGTGGTGGTGGGGAACCAGCTTGGAGCCCGTTCTATACCTGCTTGTTCTCTGACGGCTCTTAGCTCTCGTTCTTACGGGATGACACTTACAAATGTAACATGCCAAGGAACAGGACGCTGTCACCAGCCGGCGCCCACACTTAGGAGGCACAGGCGATGCTGCTGGGCTGCAGCCCTGGCCAAGTGGGACCCAGAGATGTGCTTGGTTTCTCTGCACAGTGCCTGATAGATACATGATTTCCACCAGCTGCCTACATTTATGTATTTATGTATTTATTTTTGAGACAGGGTGTTGCTCTGTTGCCCAGGCTGGAGCGCAGGTGTGATCATGGCTCACTGCAGCCTTGACCTCCTGGGCTCAAGAGATCCTGCCTGCTCAGCCTCCCAAAGAGCTGGGACCACAGGCATAGGCCACGACACCCAGCTAATTTATTTAATTTTGTAGCAATGGGGTCTGGCTATGTTGCCCAGGGTGGTCTAGAACTCCTGACCCCAGGTGATCCGCCCGCCTCAGCCTCCCAAAGTGCTGGGATGCAGGCATGAGCCACCGCGCCTGGCTTGCTCCCTACATTGAAATCCGAATGACTTTTCCAGGTATGGTTCCCTTGATTTAGTGGGGGTTCAGCAGAGTCAGAGGAGTTTCTGGTGGGTCGACATTCAGCTGGATTTGCTTCCGGTTTCAGCAGTGCACACTCAGCACGCTCAGTGAAGAGCACGCTGAACGGACAGCTCTGCGATTCCTCATCCAGAGCCAGGACCTGGGGTCCCCAGCTGCCCTCTGCTCGGCTGAGCCTGTTCTTCTCTGCAGCCACACGAGGGCAGCCTTGGCCGCTCAGAGCCCCACCAGGCCATTGAGGCGTCCCCCCAGGAGCATGGGGAGGGCGGCCCTGGCCGCCAGCCGGGAGCCCGAACTCAGCCTCTGTGGGTGGGGACAACCAAAGTGCCTGGCAAGGAGGCCACGTTCTGCACCGAAGTCAGTCGAGGGACGCCAGGAGCTGCAGCCTCAGGGCAGGCCGGGCAGGGTGAGCAGCAGCAGGGAGGCTGCTCAGGGGCTGTAGGGGTGGTGCCTGCCTGGCTTCCAGAAGTCTTCGCCAACCTAACAATGTCCCCTTTCTGGAGGGCCGGGCATGGCTGTGCCCCCTCTTTCTGGAGGGCTGGGCATGGCTGTGCCTGATGGTGTGGGGGGAAGCGGAGCGGCTTCTCCTCCCTCGCCCACAGCTAGGTGGTCCTGGTCGCATCTCCCGGGGGACGCAGGAGGAACATGGCCGGCCACTGTGGCGGAGGCTGCCCCGGTCTGAGAGCAGGCATCCCATGCCCCTCTCCTCCTCTCCTCGGCAACAACACGCCCGTCCTTCGGGCTCACCCACACCACACACTGGGGCTGGACGGGCACAGCCTGGCATGGTTGTGCCATGCCATTCCCTTTACACCAGCAAAGTCATGCGGGACCTCGTTCCTGTGAAATTGCCATTGTTTTAAATTCACACAGCCCTGTGGCTCTGGCATCTGGTCCATTGGATAGGAACTTTGGTGCCCCATGTGGCCTGGGCAGCTCTCTGTGCGCTGGCACCTGCTCAGGCGCACACACGTCTGGGGTTGGATGGAGTTAAAATTCAGAGGCAGGCTCAGTGGGTCTGAATGAGGCTGAGTTTGTAACAACCTTTCTGGGGATGCCAAACTGCTGGTCCCACAAGCACAGCAATCAGGCTGCACGCTTTGAGGGAAAGTTCTTTCCGGTATTATGTGCCTTCTGGTTGCATCACAAGCCACCCGTACAACCTGACCCTGAGAGGCTCCGCTCCCTGTGGTCCATCCTGAGAGGCTCCCCTCCCTGTGGTCCATCCTGAGAGGCTCCGCTCCCTGTGGTCCGTCCTCAATCTCAGGGTGGGGTTCTGACATTTTCTAGGGTCTTAGTTACCCACTTGACTTAAAGCTTAGTTACCCACCAACAACTTCCAGCAGACAGTGGTGCTACTTTGTACTGTGGACCATTTGGCTTTGATGAACAAAGCATGTCTTACCATGTCAGCACTCCTCTCATGCCAGGCCTGTCTCAGGCACCACCCCCTCCCCGCACCACTCTTCCCCAGCAAACGTGTCACAGTGTTTTTGTACTAATCCTGAATAGAAGTCGAAAGAAAAGGATGTAGCCAAGCCAGCGATTTCAAAACTCAAAAGGCATAACAAATATTAGAATGAAAAATTTTAAGCCAAATATTAGCTATTTCTGGCAGAGCAGAAAGGAACATGTAGCAAGCCTGAATATGCACCTTGGGCTGTGTGTGGGAAGCTTTGGACGAGCGTTCCTAAAGACAGCGCCTGCCTAGGCTCGCCTGAGTCTGCATAATATTACACAGAGTTCATCAGTGGTCCGAATGAATTCCTTTAAAGGTAACAATTAAATAGATACTACGGAGGAGGCAAGGACGTTCACAGGTGACACGACAGCTCAGTGTTTACACAGTTACGAGCTGCTTTCAAGGCGCTCCAAACCTTTCTGTTTCCCCCTTTTAAATGGTGATCATAACTTTCTCCGAGTGATGTGTTGATAACTCTTTAAATTTGCTGTGAACTTCAATGGGGTTGACTGGAAAGTGTTAGAGAAGGCACACTTTTTAAAGATCCTAATGAAAAGACATGAGATGGCAACTCTGGCTTGCTTGTGCATCCTTTGATATGTAAGAATATTATGACGTCTCCTTGCATGTGAAAAAGCCAGAGAAAACATAATCAAAACCCCGGGCACCATTGCTATGCGAGGCCTAGAGGAGACCTATTTGCATTTGACTGAAAATGTTTGGTCTGAAAAAAAATGGATGTATATGTTATAAAACAACCTATTAAGTAGCATAAATATTATTTAGCTATTTCTCAAAATAGTGAATACTTTAGTCAGCTAAGGAAAAGTATATGTGTATGTGTGTAGGCACATATATAGTATATATAAAATATGTTAACATATATATGTAAACTTACATATATAGTGTATATAAAGTGTATATGTATGTGTATAGGCAAATATATATATAAAATATATTACCAAGTAAATTTACACATGTTTTATGTATACTATATATTTGTCTACGCACATACTATGTGTATTTTATACATACTATATATTTGTATATATAAAATATATAGTTAATATGTTATATATTTGTTATGTGTTAATGTTTAACAGGTATATATAAGGATACATAAGTAAACCTTCATATACATGTTAATATTTATGTTTATATATCAGTACACCTATATATGTTTATATAGGTATATAAACATATAGATGCATGCGATTATAATGTATAAATCTAATATATATGAGACGTATATATGAGCTTTTCTGCTCTGCCAGAAATAGCAAATACATATATATTAACATGTGTATATATATTTATATATAAGCACATATAAGCATATATTACCATGTATATATCTAAGTATATGTAAATATATATGTGGTTTTTCTTTCTCTTTGTCAGGAATAACCAAGTTTAACATCAACTGTATTAATGCATCTAGTTCATGGTGTATTCGTTTCACTACCGACTATAAAATACAAAGGATAAATTATTTGCAAAATATCTTCTTAATCTCTTCATTGTAATTGTTTACATTTTTATGTAAAATGTTTTTATTTCCAGGTGTTTTTATTTCCAGGCACCTCAGATCATTTTCTTCATTTGTGACATTAGCCATAATATAAATTTCCGTTGTTTCTCCTCTTCTAAGATGCTCTGGTGGGACACCCAGTTGCAAAGACACAGCGTTGCCCCGTGCTGCTGTAGCCCCCTCTTCCTGCCCCCACTCCCTCTTGCAGCCTCCCTGCCTCGGTACCACGTTTAAACCAGGGCCGTATATGCCTCCCTGCCTCGGTACCACGTTTAAACCAGGGCCGTATCAGCCTCCCTGCCTCGGTACCGTGTTTATACCACGTTTAAACCAGGCTGTATCAGCCTCCCTGCCTGTACATCAAGTAGTTTAAACCAGGGTCAGATCAGCCTCCCTGCCTCGGGAACAACAGGTTTAAACCAGGGTCAGATTGCCTCTCTGCCTGCAATTGTACCGTGTTTAAACCAGGGCCGTATCAGCCTCCCTGCCTCGGTACCATGTTTAAACCAGGGCCCTATCAGCCTCCCTGCCTCGGTACTACGTTTAAGCCAGGGCCCTATCAGCCTCCCTGCCTCGGTACTATGTTTAAACCAGGGCCATATATGCCTCCCTGCCTCGGTATCATGTTTAAACCAGGGCCGTATTGTCTCTGTCCCTAGGGCGGGAAGTCTCTTCTATGTAATGCATGTGATATTCTGCATACTGATAGGAACTCTGACAAGGAAGAAAACAGTGAGGATCTAGGGAATGACGCCCATTAACTTGGTTACAGGGAACAGGGGTTCCCTGAGGATCCACTTACCATATTCTGTTGGCAAAGCCAATAAAACTGCTGGAATTTCTGGGACATGAGAAGCTGGGCGCTCCCAACGGCACTCCTGATTTTCCCGAGAACTGTTTAAAACAAAAAACAACAGCTTCAAAACTGGGTCGATTAAACAAAAGCAGAAACATCACACCAAGGGAGCTGGTCCCGCTGGAGAGGAAACTCTGAGGACTTCATCGTGCCGAGTGCGTTCGCCCGTGAGTCAGGCCTCCGCCTGCTCCGTCCCCAGCTCACGAAGGAAATCCAGAGATGACCAGATGTCACCGCGGGGACATTCTCCTTAGGTATTGGGAGAAACTTAGTTTAAAAGGCGGCCTATACCTCAGGGAGTTTTCCTTATTTTGGCATCGAGATTATGTCAGTGCTGCTGTTTGGATGAGCTGGAAGACACAAGAACACGTGTGAGTAAAAGCAACCTTGAGTTCTTCCTGTTTTTATGGACTCCGTGACGTGTTAGTGAACTCTGTTAGGTGTGAATTCTTTCATTTTTAGAAAAAAACACATCCATATGTGTTCTCTCATTGGATTTGATTAAATAATTTCTAGTGGACTGTGGGCCGCTATCTCCTGGCGGTGCTGTGAGGTGTGTGTTATGTAGGAAGAGGCTGTGGACAGAGGCCGCACAGTAAGGTCGTAGCAGCTAAGACGTGGCTCCTCTCCTGGAGATGGCAAAAGGGTCTCGAGTTTCTGAATATGCTCACAGCTACTAAACTCACCAATCCACATACCCAGTAAACGTGTAATGCTCACGCTACACTTCTGAAGTGCTGAGTCAGCAGACCACAGTTTAGTGAGGTAGGAAGAATTAATCTACAAATGGTTCCTAATTGCAATGACTTTATTTGGTTAATCAAATAGTAATTTTTTATTTTTTATTTTTTTGAGACAGGGTCTTGCTTTGTCACTCAGGCTGGAGTGCAGTGGTGTGACCTTGACTCACTGCAACCTCCGCCTCCCAGGTTCAAGCAATTCTCCGGCCTCAGCCTCCCCAGTAGCTGGGATTATAGGTGCGCACCACCACGCCTGGCTACTTTTGTATTTTTAGTATAGACAGGGTTTCTCAATGTTGGTCAGGCTGGTCTTGAACTCCCGACCTCAAGTGATCTGCCCATCTCAGCCTCCCAAAGTGCTGGGATTACAGGCATGAGCCATTGTGCCCAGCCATAAAATTTTTAAAAAGAATATACTGTATATGTGTGTGTTTATTTTTATTTATTTATTTATTTTGAGACGGAGTCTCGCTCTGTCACCTAGGCTGCAGTGCAGCGGCGTGATCTTGGCTTACTACAACCTCCGCCTCCCGAGTTCAAGTGATTCTCCTGCCTCAGCCTCCGGAGTAGCTGGGATTACAGGCACTTGCCACCAATCCCGGCTAATTTTTGTATTTTTAGTACAGAGTTTCACCATGTTGGCCAGGCAGGTCTTGAACTCCTGACCTCCAGTGATCAGCCTGCCTTGGCCTCCCAAAGTGCTGGGATTACAGGCATGAGCCACCGCACCTGGCTCGTATGTGTGTGTGTTTTAGAGACAGGGTCTTGCTCTGCTACCCAGGCTGGAGTGCAGTGGCAGGTAGCTCACTACACCCTCCAATTCCTGAGCTCAAGCCACCCTTCCATCCTGGCCGCTGAAAGTGCCAGGATTACAGGCGTGAACTACCATGACTGGCCATAATATAATTCTATCAGTGGAAATAATTTAACCAAGAAAAATAGGTGCAGCTACTTTTGCGTTTAGACTAGTCAAAAAAAATACTCTGTTCAAGGAGTCTGTCTCCAAGCCTTCCCAGCTTCCTCATTTTCCTCCTCCCCTGTGTTCACACCCACTCTTGCGTCTGCTGTCAGCCTGGTCCCCACTTTGTAAATAATAGCTTTGGTAGATCCTAGCTCACCATGATCCTCAAAACCACACAGGAATCCACTGGAACCCATTTCTTACCAGTGCACCCCGGGCCCATGGATCTCTGCTAGGTTTTATTTACTGGAGCAACAATTCAACGTCATTCCATAGAGCGTGCCCAGTATACATATGTGGCTTTTCTGTACCTAGGTCAGCACTTGGGGCCAGGCTGCCCACCAGGCAGGGGGCAGATGATCTAAGCATCTCCTCGCCTCTCAGTTCACACCAGGTCTCCCCGTCATGGCCTTCAGCATGGGCGCTTCAAGGTGGGGCCGTCTTTCCTGAGCTTGCTCAGGAGGCATCTTCCGCTTCTTCTGGCCAAGCCGATTCTTCCACCTGCTCTTTTTATTCTCCCTGGAGATTCTCTGCAGAGCACAAATCACTAACCTACACGACACACCCTAAAACTGAAAGTGCTGCTGGTTTAACTAGCCCAACCCATTCTCCTGCTTTCACTGGAAGGAAAAGGGGGCATTTATCCTGGAGATTTGCCCCCTTGAATGCAGGGGCGGGAGATCCATCCCCACTTACGTCTGCGGCTTTACGTACTTTGCGAGGGAATACTGATGTGCTCGAGGTTTTGCCTGGAGACGTGCAGGTGTCTGGAGCTCAGGGGACTCTGCAGACCCACCTGTGCCTCGCCTGGGGATCTTGTGCCAGGCATGGCCTGACTCATGGGGTCTGGGTGGGCCAGAGAGTCCGTTTCTTTCGAGCGTTTAGGAGATGCCCCCACTGGCTCCCAGGGCACACCTGACTGTGGAAGCCTAGACAGCATTTCCAGAAGTCGAAACCGAGGTCCAGAGAAGTGAACCCAATCCCCGCGGAGGTTCTTCCACAACAGCTCTTTCCCCAAACATTCCTTAACAGTCAGTCCCAGAGACAGTTACTGGTGAGATTTGTTCCATACGATCCAGAAACTGGTATCACAGACCCTGGCATCCTGCCGCCCAAGCTAGGGCGCTGCAGTGTCTCCTCCTTAGCCCAACTTTAGGGGAGAAGAACCACATGTCATGGGCACAAAGGGCCTTAATGTTCATGTAATAAAATGCTATGAGCCAGGCGAAAATGACGTTGCAGAGATCACTTTGACTTGAGAGGGCTTATGACACGCTGTGACCCGGGAGTCGACCACACAGCAGGGTGTGCGCTGCGCCCCTCGTTTTTTAGAACAGGAAGGTCTGGTATTCTGTGTCACATGTTTTGTCCTGGGTGGGATCATGGACTTAAAAACATCCTTTTCTGTCTTGTCTTATTTTTCTAAAATGAAGATTGTTTTGCTCCCCACAGTTTTATTATGAAGCTTTTCACACATGCAGAAAATGGGGAGAAAAGTGGAACCCACAGCTCCCTCCCCGTTCTGTGGAGACGGCTGTTAGTGTTGTCCTGTGGTATCTCTTCCTGAGCCCTTTACCTGCGACCACCTTGTAGAGCCAGGGCCACTGTCACCCCCGCGAAGCTGACGATAGTTCCTGAATATCATCTAATTCTCCATTGCTTCTAGGGTATGAAAAAGATGAAGAAAGCATAACTTTAATAAAAGCAAATAACTCGGATAACACTTTGGCATCATTTCAGTCTTGAAAAGAAGAAAAGAATGGAAGGTTGTCTGTCGGGCATCTTAACACCGGGGCCTCGTGCTGCTCACAAATCCACTTCCAGACAGGCTGCTCTTCCATGGAGCTGATTTGCCAGCCAGCCTGGGAACAGAGAAGGGAGGGGAGGACTGGAGAAGGAAGGCTGGAGCCCCTGCCCATGTGGCATAGGATGGAGCTGGCAGGGCTCTGAGTTGGGGTGAGGGGAGTGGAGGGGCCGCTGCGGTCGAGATGCAGCTGGAGGCGTTGGGGCTTGAGCGGTTTCTTTTTTTTTTTTTCTTTTTTTTTTGAGACGGAGTCTCGCTCTGTGGCCCAGGCTGGAGTGAGTGGCCGGATCTCAGCTCACTGCAAGCTCCGCCTCCCGGGTTCCCGCCATTCTCCTGCCTCAGCCTCCCGAGTAGCTGGGACTACAGGCGCCCTTGAGCGGTTTCTTGAAAGGGGTGATGGTGAAAGCCCCTCACCCTTCCTCTGCGTGCCGATGCCCCCAAAATGAACGTGTTCTGCGGCCTTGGTCTCTTGGTCGCTGATGAAGGGAGGAATCATCTTTGCTTTTGAAATGTTGAATTTCTATTTCTTTTGTATTCTAAAACCTGGGTAATTAATGAAGATATTTAAAGGAACTATTTTAAGCAAGTGGTTGCTGCAGAAATATATAGAAGTGGATGAATAGATGAATTTATTTTGCCAACTCTATTCTTCCTCAAACTGTAATTAAAGTCTATCAGTTTTTTAAAATTTGAAGTTTAATCCCCAATTTTCACATTTCTCTTAAAAAGGAATTCAACTCAACTGTTAATACAAAGTACTTCAATTTATACTCTTTAACACAACATGAATATATGGGCAATATCTTGGTATTGATTTAATGTAGTGGAGTTATTATAAAGGGAATAAATTGAATATTGCTGGAGAGAATGAATGTCAAAGAGTGTAGCTAATGACATGCCTGCTAATGGCAGGAGAATTTTGCTGTTCAGTGAATGAGAATGATCCTATCTGATACCTATAATGTAAATAGCTTCCTATAATTGCAAAGAAGTTGAAGTGAAAATTCAATTTATTCTCTTCCAGTATACGTCTCTAATTTTGCCATAGTTTAGACACTTGCAGGAGCTACACTAAGGACTAATTCTCATCCAAATGCAAATTCACAGAGAACCTGCTAGAACCCTTGCCTTTGATGTACAGAGAAATTTGATTAACATACTTGGCTCTTTTATTTTTTCTATAATTCCAATTCTATCTAAATTTGGTATGAAGTAACATAATTTACACTATTCTGGTGTTCTAATATTTGAGATGGATTTTTATAAAATTTGCAGAGTCTGAAATGATCATTTGAGTATTTGTAACCTCTCTGATCCCCTGAGATTCCCTTGTGACTAATTTTGTAGTGGGGTCTGCCTAAGTTACAGCTCCCAGAAATCTCCTTTGAAGACGATCCTCATCATTTTCATGTTTTTGAGCACATCTATTCTGTGTGTTTTTAATGGATTTATCACAGTTGTATATATTCCTGGGGGCATGTGTGATATTTGGACACATGTCTACAATGTACTATGATCAAATCAGGGTGATGA